ATTGAGGGAAGAGGGTGTGCATGCAGCACCCTTTTCCCTCAACGAACTGCAGCAGCAGCAGCAGCAGCAGCAAATGCGTATTTGGTGTTAATCAATTTGAGGAAAACAAAAACAATAAACATAAACATTTATTTATTTATTTATTTATTTATTTAATTTTATTTATTTATATAAATATAAATAAATATAAATAAATATAAATAAATAAAAGTTATTGTTTTCCTTAGGTGTATCTATAGGCTACAAACCCTTCTTGTCTAAACCCTAATTCCTAAACCCTAATAAACCCTAACTTAGTCCGTCCTAAACCCTAGACCCTAGAGTAGTCCTGTCTAAACCCTAAACCCTAGCTTAGCCCTGTCTAAACCCTAAACCCTAATTTAAATTCTTAACATAAAAAAAAAAGACTCGCTGTCTTTATACAGCGGCAAAGTTATGAAATAATCAAAGTTGAGGGTTTAGGGTTTAGAGTCGAGGGTTTAGGGTTTAGGGTTTAGGGTTTATGATTAGCTCCTTGTAAGATACGTCGGGAGAGAGCATCCAAGGAAGAAATCGCCTAACGCAAATCACACACAATTAGGGTTTAGGGTTTAGGGTTTAGTTATGCCGTATTGCAAATAGTTGTGCAGCTCCTACGCTAGCTGCTGTTGCTGCTGCTGCTTGCTGCTGCTGCTGCTGCTGCTGCTGCTCTTACCTCATTGGTTCGATTAGCGGTGGTGTTTTTTCTATAAGAGGAAAGACGAGAAGATGAAGGGGAGGGACAAGCTGCTGCAGTTGCTGCTGCTGCTGCTGCTGTTCCTGCTGCTGCTGTTGCTGCTGTTGGGCTGCTAGGAGACAGGGAGTAGCTACTTAGCTGCTGCTGCTGCGTCTCCTCAACACGGAACCGAGGAGGCGCAGCTGCTGCTTGCAGTAGATTCCCCCCGTTGCTGCTGCTGCTGCTGCTGCTGCTGCTGCTGCTGCTACGAGATCCATTTAGACTATGAAGGGCTATACCGCTGTTAGCCTGCCGCTGCCTAAGAGGGAGGCCGTGTGCTGCTGCTGCTTCTGCTGCCATAGCAGCAAGAGCAGCAGGTCTTGCTGCATCTGCTGCTGCACGAGGTGCAGCAGCAGCAGCAGCAGTAGCAGGTCTTGCTGCATCTGCTGCAGCAGCAGCAGCAGCAAGATGAAATGTATAAGGTCTTGCCTTTGCCCTCTCTGCTATATGCTGCACTCTTGCAGATAATTCTTCTTGCTGCTGCTGCATGCTTCCCTGCAGCAGCTCCTCCTGCTGCTGCTGCTGCTGCAGCTGCTGGTGTGATGCTGCTGCGCTGCTTCCTCTTGAAGGAGAAGACCCCACAGAGATAGTCCTAAGTCGTGATCCCCCGCCTGCTGCTGCTGCTGTATCTGCTGCTGCTGCTGCTGCTGTGTCTGCTGGTGCTGTGGGGGAGTACGGAGGCTGCTGCTGCTGCTGCTGCTGCTGCTGCATGTGTGCCTCACAGTCTTGTAAGTACTGCAGCACAAGAGGATCAACCTGAGCAGCAGCAGCATCTGTTGCTGCTGCTGCTTGGCATGCACGATCTGCTGTTTGTTTTGCTGCTCTTTGCTGCAGCAGGAACAGCTGCTGCGCTAATGAGTCCCGTATAGACACCTCAGCATCTCTTTCTTTTTTTAATTGTGCTGCTTCTTGCTGCTGCTGCTGCTGCTGCCGCTGCAGCTCCTCTACCTCACGCTGTAATGCAAATGTCTGCTGCTGCTGCTGCTGCTGCTGCTCCATCTGCTGCTTCTCTCCCTCTACTATTCTCTCCATTAAACGATTCACACGTTCCGTGTGTCTGCACAAGCAATCTAAACCCTAAACCCTAAACCCTAAACCCTAAACCCTAAACCCCAAACCCTGAACCCTAAACCCTAAACCTTAACCACTGAACCCTAAGAAAATACCACAACCCTAAACCCTAATGCTTAGATTGCTTATCTCTTTATTAGGGTTTACTAGGGTTAATAAGGGTTTATTAGTGTTTATTAGGGTTAATAAGGGTTAATTAGGGTTTAGGGTTTATTACTTTTGTATAAGTTCCTCCCTATCTGCTGCTGCTTGCTGCTGCTGCTGCTTAATTTGCTGCAGGAATTGATTCTCTGTTTGTTTAAGTTTAGCAGCAAAAGAAGCAGCAGCAGATTGGAGTGTCTCCTCAGATTTTGCTGCTGCTGCTGCTGCTTCTGCTGCTGCTGTACGCTGCTGCTGCAGCAGCTGACGCTCAAAGTCTGCACGCATGCAGCAAATTGCTGCTTCATGGGATGCATGCAGCTGCTGCAGCTCGTTGCTGTGCTGCAGCTGCAGCAACTGTATCTCCTGCAGCAACAACAGCAGCAGCACCACACAGTATCAGCAGCAATAAGCACAACAACTGTATTCTATTCTATAAACTGTTCAAACCCTAAACCCTAAACCCTAAACCCTAAACCCTAAACCCTAAACCCTCATACTTTTTGATTTTTATGGATAGCTTCTTCAATCTGTCTTTCTGCAGCAACTTCTTCTTTTTGTTGTTTAATTATTTCTTTTTCTTTTTTTCTTTTTTCCTCTATTTGTTGTTTATCTTTTAGGGTTTGTATTTGTAGCATATACTCCATCCTTATATCTTCTATTGCCTTATTATGTGCTGCACATAAACCCTAAACCCTAAACCCTAAACCCTAAACCCTAATTCCTAGACAATGAAGAATTAAACCCTAAACCCTAAACACAATAAACCATAAACCCTAGACATGTTGTATATTTAAGGGTTTGAGGGGAGGGAAGAGGGAGCAGCGAAAGAAGAGCATTCTTGAGGGTTTAGGGTTTAGGATTATTAGGGTTTAGGGTTTACCTTCTGTTGCTCTTTGCATAGCTGCATCTGCTGCTTCTCTTTCCTCTTTGATTCTTTCCTCATTTTGCTGCTCTTGCTGCTGCAGTGCTGCCTTGAATTCAGATTCACGTACCCGCAGCAGCAACTTATGCTCCTGTTGTTGCTGCTGCTGTTGCTGTCTTAGTTGCTGCCGTAAAGCCTGCTGCTCTGCAGCAAATTGTTGCTGCTGCTGCCGTAATGCAGTCTCGTGCTGCTGCTGCTGCTGCTGCAGCTGCTCACGTGCTTCCTTTAGCTGACTCAGCACATCTTCTGTTCCTCCATCCAACAAACCTACACGCAAACACAGCAGCAGCAGCAGCAGCAGCAGGAGCAGCAGGAGGACGATCAGCAGCAGCAGTATAACCACCGGTATCAGTAGAAGCACAATCAGCAGGACAATCAGCATCAGCAGCATCAGCATCAGCATCAGCAGCAGCAGCAGCAAGAGGAGTATGTACCTGCTGCTGCTGCTTCTTCTTGTAATTTGAATATTTTATGTTGTTGGCATTTAAATTTATTTAATTCAAATTTTAATTCAGATATTTCTTTTGATGCAGCAGCAGCAGCAGCAGCTAATTCAACCTTATGACGATTCTCTAATTCCTGCAGCAGCAGCACCAGCAGCAACAACAACAACAACAGTAGCACCAGCATATGATGATGAATATGTACCAGCAGCAGCAGCATCAGCAGCAGCAGCAGTAGAATTAGCAGCAGCAGCAGCATAAGCATCTACACAAGAACCAGTATCATCATTATCATCAACCCAATCAGCACAATCAACAAAACAAACACCATCACCATCACCACCCCAACCCCCACCACACAACCACCAACACCAACAGCAACACTACCAGCAACAGCAACACCAACAGCAGCAGCAGCAGCAGGAGCAGCAGCAGCAGGAGCAACAGGATTGGTACATGGATTTGTATTTCGTGTGCATGTTGGAGATGTAAGATTTGATTTTGATTTTCAAATTTTTGATTTTCAAAAAATAACAAAAAATTATTCCGAATTATTTCGTATATACACCAATTATCCTCCTCCTGCTGCTGCTGCTGCTGCTGCTGCTGCTGCTGCTGCTGCTGCTGCTGCTCCTGCTCCTGCTCCTGCTCCTGCTGGTGATGGTGATGGTGCTGGTGATCCTGCTGGTGCTGGTGCTGGTGCTGCTCCTGTTGGTCGCAGCGGGTTAGGTCAGGGTGGCGGGGACAACGGCGGTGGTGGTGCAGCAAACTCTCTGCTGCTGCTGCAGCTGCTGCCGCTGCTGCTGCCGCAGCAGCTGATGCTGTTGGGGATGGTGGGGATGATGATGTTGCTCTTGCTGCTGCTGCTGCTGCTGCTGCTGCTGCTGATGCTGATGCTGATGGGAAGATTGGAACTAGTATACCCTGCTGCTGCTGCTTTTGCTGCTGCTGATTATATTCTTGCTGCAGCTCATGGAGCTGCTGTTGTACTTGCTGCAATGCTGCTTCTAATTCCATGTTCTGCTGTATCTGCAACAATATACACAAACCCTAAACCCTAAACCCTAAACCCTAAACCCTAAACCCTAGCACACCGCTACTATAAACGAAGGTTTATAAATAACACACAAACAAATAAACAAATGAGTATTTTATAATTAATAAATAATAAATAATAAGTAATAGATAATATAATAAAATAAATAAATAAGTAATAAATAAATAAATAAATAATATTAAAAAAAACAATATATAGTAAACAAAGAAAACAAACAAATCATTAAAAATAACATACAAGTGCTGCAGTTTGGGCGTCAGCTGCTTGCTGCTGCTGCAGCAACTGCTGCTGCTGCTGCTGCTGCTGCAGACCAGAAGGCACCAGAGCTGCCTCCACGGCCATCAGCAAAGAAGAAGCCTCATGAAGACGTTCCTGCACAAACAACAATTCCTCAACACTAAACCCTAAACCCTAAACCCTAAACCCTAAACACTAAAATGCAAACCCTAAACCCTAAACCCTAAACCCTAAACACTAAAATGCAAACCCTAAACCCTAAACCCTAGAGTGTTGATGAATTGGCTTACCTCAACTCTACAGACCTCCGAGAGCTCCCCTGTAGAGAGAGACCGTTGTGAGGTATCCTGTTGCTGTTGCTGCTGCTGCTGCTGTTGCTGCTGTTCGCTCTGTTGCTGCAGCTGCCGCTGCAGTTGCTGCACAGGTAGGAAGTTGGTGAGGGTTTCTGCTGTTGCTGCTATGCTGCGTATAGTTTCTTC